CTCAAAGGTCCAAATCCACCTCTATACAATAAACCAGCTGGAAGACCAAAGAAACAAAGGAGGCGGAGTACGGATGAGGTAGAATAAGCAAAGGAAAAACAGAAAAAGAAAATGAGCAAAGTTGATGTGGTGATAAGATGCAAATATTGTCTGCAAAGAGGTCACAATGTGAGATCTTGCAAACTTAGCAAGGATGAACAGCGTGTAACTGAAGCTATCCATGAAGCCTTCCAAGATCCTCAAAATACCACTGCAAATATTGAAGACATCTCTGTAGACTGCAATGATACTGAAGTTGAAGCTGAAAAGCTAGTTACATGTACTCCTCAAATTTTTGACAAGAATTCAGTTGATAAGGCAGCTCCAGTGCCTGTAATTATTGTATGGTCTCACTTTTTCTTAATGAACATGATTTCTTTAACTTACTATATGTTTATGTTGTTGCTTTTGTAGAAAAGAAAGAAACAGAAAAAGGGGGATGCAGCTAGACCAACAGAAATAGTTATTGATGTTAGTGTCAAAAAGCCTGTCCCATCTTCATCTAATTTGTATGAAGTTTTTGGTTTAAAAAGATCTCAAGTGAAGTATAATCAACCATTACACCCAAAAAATGACAAGGATAAGATGCTTCTCACGATTAGAACTGGATATATGGACGTGGCTGCTACAAAAAAAAGTGTTGTTGCTTCATCTAGGCTAAAGGGAAAAAAGAAATTGCCATAAACCAAAAACTTGATGGCAATCTTTTGCTTTTGCTGATGCTTTTTATGTAATAGTTTTAGTCTTAGTCTTAGTCTTTTGCTGATACTTTTGAACAAGACTTGTCTTTTTGAATAAGACTTGTCTTTTTGAACAAGATGCTTTTATTATGATGTTGATCACTTTTTTGAGAACGTTTATGTTCCTTGAACAAGTTGTCCATTTTGACATTATCTTAAGTTCTTACTAAATGAAAATGATGCCAATTTGTGTATATTGGCTTGTTAATACGTCACATAAATTTCAGATTAGCTTGTCATTGTTACATACAAACAGTTTATCTCGTATAGTGCTAGTCATCTTTTTGATGTGTTATTCTTATTTCGTCCAAGACAATATTTTTCTGCTAAAATAAAACAATTTCATTACCAAATTTTGTACAACACACAATGTAACAACCATTCAAAACTAGAAGTAGGGGTAGTAGTATATATAAACATTCTAAATCAGACTACAACTGCAAATAGCATTGCCATCATTTACAAGATCCAAAAGCATGCTATTTCTATGTTTATAAATTCAGTCAAAATTTTGCCCCATGAAAGGAACAAATCACAGTCATCAGCCTTCCATTCGGTAACTCATTCCAAGCTTAGTACCAATTTTCCTTCTCTTGCATGTCCCCTATTTTTCCCAGCAACAGATATCATAAGCAGCATAGCCAACATCAAAATAATACAAATCATAATTTTTTCCCTTCTTTGGCCCTTTTCAATTGTTTCCTCCATCCTATTTATCCTTCTCAACAAACCTGGTATTATGCTCCTTTCTCTTGCACAGATTGGTTCATCAAGCCATTCAAAATATTTGCACCTATCTGGCCTCTGCAAATACACCTATATTGTTACGGTAAGGGCATTTCTACACTTTACTTACAAAAAATTATACTACGCTTACCGGCCATCTTGAACAACTATAGAATCTTCTTCCAGGATTATCGTCCCGCCAAGAAGTTGTCAATTTGGGTCTTAATCTACATCCACACACACAGGTACTGCTATTTGACAAAATCGACGATTTTGAGTTTCGTGATCTCATTTTGCTGACAAGTACGAATTGAAGATGAAGTTTTGTTGCTTGATATGGTGGATCACTCCATTAATTCTACTGGATTGAAAAAGCTGTGTTGAATCACTCCATTAACTCTGTTAATCTCAAGCAACTTTTCACTTCATTAACTCGGTGGGAAAAGGAAAAATTTAGAGAAGAAAAGCAGTGGATGTGTTAGAGAGAGAGTCAATCGGGATAGAGACAGAGAATGGACTTTAGTCAACATTTTGTGTCTGACTTGTGTTGGTTTTTTCGATATTTGGATATTTGTTAACGGCCACGTGGACTTCACCGTCCAAATTGAAAAAATTCTCGCTTTTTGACTAAATGTGATAAAAAATCGTTAATTTATGTACTCAGTGTGTTCTGACGAAAAGTTTGGGGACCAAATGTGTATTTGTCACAAAGTTTGAGAATGAAAAGTGAATTTTTCCCATTCCTATCGTTTCAGAAAAAAAAAATTAACTTTATAGTTAGTTTGGGAGTTTAGAATAGGAAAGAAAATAAGAGAAATGTTTCTGTTTGGATTGGTTATTTTTTCAAAAAAAATTTAAAAATAACAATGTTACAATAATATATAAATAAAAATAATTTTAAAAATATTTTATTTATATAATATATTAAATATTTCAAAAATATTTATAGTAAATATTTTTCATATATATTGCTATAATAATTTTTTTCAAAAAATGCTCTAAAAAACAGTTAATCCAAACAAATGTTGTTTGAGAGTTTAGATAAAAAATAAAATGATTTGGAATATATATATCAATGAAAATTTGTTCAATACACGTTTAAGAGGATAAAATGAACATTTTGAAAATTTTTTTTAGGCTTTCTCAACTTTCCTCTGCTTTCTGGCCATACTTGGGAAAAATTTGTCAACTGTAATAGCAGTAGACCATCCATGCAAAATCATCTAGTTCCCTTTCTTTTCTATCTCTCAACAGAAAGAAAGTTTTTTGTTCTCATTTCCTTTCTTTTCTTATCAAACCTGATCTCCCAAACTAGCTAAGAGTTCCCATTCGATACTCTTTAATCTTTTCTCTCACTTCAGTCCTATGTTCTAAATTTGTTATTAAAAATTTTTTAGGCTCAGCTCTCAAGTCTTGTTTTATGCCACCATTTTGTTTCTTTATTTGTTTTTCTTATTTTATTTACTTCTGAGCAAGTAAGAAAAGTTAATTGCTAGCTTGAGGGGTATGGCTAATCAAAGAAAGTCGGAGAACTTTTTTTTTTTTTTAAATAATTAAAAAAAAGTTAACTGTGTTTTAAGAAACTGTGTACGTATATGGTTTCCTCTTAATAAGATGAACTTAGGGGATGGGGCCTCACCAGTCTCATTTCAAATCACTTAAAAGTTTTTAGGTGTAAATAAATTAGAATAGAGTGTAAAGAAGTTTTGGTTAGATGTAAACAAGTTGGGAATAGGGTGTAAACAAATTTGAAATGACCATTTTACTATAAATTGTACTATTGAATCCTTAAATTCTAAAGTTTTTTTTTATATATAAAATATGATACTTCCATTAAATCTATATAATGACAAAAATTGCATTATAAACAGATACAATAAAGTTACACAATTACGTTAGATTTCAAAGTTGATAGTCCCAAATTCGAAACTTAATACATCTATTGTGCATAATTACAATAGATCCCAAAAACACATGTAGTTCCAATTCCGGAACTTAGACACACCAAATGTGAGTAAATGTGTTTTTTTTTTTTTTTTTGGGGTAAGAAGTAAATATGTTTACTCAATCGACTTTAATCCCAAAATAATCGCCACGGTCATAAAGCTACAGCAAATCAGAAGATTTGTAGCTCGATTCACTAAAGAGGTTAGCAATATAAAATATTCAAGGTGAATGGGGGAATCGATTTTTTAATCTCTAGAAAAGAAAAACGATATTTTTTTTTTTTTGAAAATAAGGAAAAAAAAAACGATATTTAGTCAGTCAATTGTGACACCACAATCATAAATCTATGTATGAAGTATCTAGGCTCTACGCTAGATTTTACCGTCCAACATTAACAACAAATTTGATGGTACAAATACAATTAGAAGTTGATGACACTGTCCAGCCTTTTCAATACAATACATCAAGCTGAAGAAATTTTTCAAACGGGCGTCTTTTAACTTTTTACGTTTCCGCTTTCCACGTGTACTAATTCTCTCGGAGATCACCAAAGAAAAATGGAAATGAAAAGCAAACTCTTTTTTTTTAATATATTTAAAAAAAAATCAAATATTTGCTCGTCAATTCTTCACCAATCAGTGGAGGGGGAACAAAAAAGAAGAAAAAAAGCCCCATAAAGAATCAGCGATAATTCAAAACATCAGCTCTGTTCGGAAGAAGCATTGGGGGAATCAGGACTGGTTTTGTAAAGCTTGTTGTAGGCCTCCAGCTCTTCGTAGTAGATGTCCCACACGCACCTAACACATCCGCTTCCACAACAGTCATCCGGCAACGGCTTCTCCGGCGGCGGAGGAGTATATCGGGGTGTTGACTTCTCCAATTCCTTCTTCTCCTCTTCTTTTTCACCGTTCAAAATCGTCGATGTACCGCTAACTGATTGAGAATTATCAGCCATGGAATCCTGGATGCCAGAGTTGTTACTATTTCCACTATTGATTGCACAAAATAATCTCGGTTGGAGATGGGTGGTGGCAGCCGTTATTACGGTCAGATTTTTCATGGATTGCTGTCGCAGAACATTTTGGTGCGGCGGCAGGAGATAGATGATACGAGGATTACTGACGTCGGAGGTTGTTATGCCTGAAGAGGTTACGTACGAGAATGAGGATGCGGGACGAAGAAGAGATTGATGATGTTGGAGGAGGAGGAGTAGGAGGGCCGTTCCCATAGGCTTTAAGGCTTTAGAATTGGTCCATTCGCACTTTCTAGAATTTTATATATCTGTTTGTAAAAGGCCGGAAGGACATTCTGGCGTCATAACGCGTGGGCAATCTGTGGACCCAAACGAATCTGCGCTGTCCAATAAATTTACTGGTTTTGGGCCGGTCCAAAATAAGCCACCCTCCACGGACAGTAAATACTTCTTAGTCTTATTCAGAACAATTGTCTAGTCGCACGCACCAGAAGAAAATCGCATTTAAAACTGTTTTAGGCAAAGACAGAAGTTTTCCTTCTAACATGGAATGCTTAATCCGTAAAAGTAGAAACTTTGAAAGTATTGACAAACGAAGCATTTGAATATGCATTATACAAGAGTCACTCAGATGGTATTACTGAGCTGGAAATGCGTCCTGATACAAGTAGAACATGGTTTCCTGACTGAAGCAGCAGCATAACATTTCTGGTAGTACGGTCGTATGGTTTTATGGTTGTTTACAAGTCGATGAGTTCTGCATAATTTGACAGAATTTGCAGCAATTAATCCTATCAATGGTTTTGCTTTAACTATAATTTTATCGGTTGCCAGAAGAGCAGTGCAGCCGCTCTTACTGTCTCATTTGATCTTTCTCTTCTAGTTTGATCGCTTGAATATCCTTCTCAATCCCGACAACAGCAGTAATAACCCCAGGTAATCAAATTTATAAGCCAATTTGATGAAATCCAGCTTAAAATCATTCCATGGAGGATACCTTGGTTCCAATTCAAGGTAAAAGCTCCTCTGCAGAACTGCTTTTTCATGGCTGAAGGTATCGAAAGAGTACTTGCCGTGATACCTTCCAAAACCACTCTGACCAACACCACCAAATGGTAATGAATCGGCCACAAACTGCAATTTTTTTGTTGGAAAGGAAAAAGAATGATGGTTTGAACATGTATGCTTTTGCATCAACTAGGGCTGAGAGCTTACAACGAAGTTTGAATAGAAGTACCTGGACGACTGCATCATTGAAGGTTATGCTTCCGGATGATGTTTCAGATAAAAGCTTTTTTTTGAATCTTTCATTCTTTGTGAAAGCATAGATGGCAAGCGGTTTTGGTCTCAAGTTTATAAACTCAATGCTTTCCTCAATTTTATTCAACTGTAACACGAGAGAGAAGATATTATATCAAACTTCTTTTCTTGTAGATTAACAGCTTCATTTGAGGCCTTCATTATGAATATTTTTTCTCTTACTGTGATGATTGGCAGCAGAGGACCAAATATCTCTTCAGACATTATATCAGCATCAAGAGGAGGATCCAACAAGATGGTTGGTTCAATCATCCTGTGCAACATCAGTCAAAAGTTTGAAGGCAATAAGTAGCACGCATCCAGCAAGATCAGCTTGCACAATACACAGATTGACACAGCACTTACAAATTTTGTTCGTCCCATGAACCACCGTGAACAATGGATGCTGCAACTCTGGGGTCCCCAAGAAGATTGCTAACTCTATCAAAGTGGCTTTTGCTGACAATCCTACAAAGATTCTTCAAGTTTGGCATACTGTCACCAAAAAAAGCTTTGATGCACTTCTTCAACAACTCAACCTGAGAAATCAAACCAAGAAATAAATCATGGTAGATATCTATTTCAAAACCATTAGATCCAAATGGAGGACGAGCCTCACTCTTAAGGAGCATGCCATCATTACCAGGATTGAAGCAAATTTCTCTTCCACGAGAACATAATCAATCCCTATGCATGCCTGTCCACTGCACAGTCCCCACTTGCCACCAACTATTCTCTTAATGGCCACCTTGGAGCCACATGGAACAAATTAGAATAAGAATAGTAAACGCATGCATCATTTATGTATTTGTCTGCAAATGGGGTAATGCAATAACACATTCTTGTAGTCTAAGACAAGAAAAACAGTTGTTTTCTGACTTCTCGTTTAAGCTCATGAACCTGCTTTAGTCTAAGACAAGAAATATACATCTCATGTTCTGCATTTAAACATTCTTTTAGTGCTTTTAAATACTATAGGAAACCTCTAAATCTGAAATGGAGAGAGAATCGAGGATGGTTGGACATTTTCCCCCAAGCTCTAGAGTTACAGGTGTTAAGTGATTTGCAGCTGCGGCCATGATTATGCGTCCTACTCGTGAACTCCCTGAAAAGGTATGATCAAACAGAAAATGATAAGATTCTGTCCATCATTCCTTAATGATATGTGTTGGGATGGTGGAAGAAGGTAAGCTTCTCCTGGTTGCAAAGACAATTCACTTATAAAGCTCATTTTTTGTACCAAAAGTGTAAACTGGCTAGGTAATTTCACTCAGTTATCAACAGCAAGAACACGATACATTCCCAGGGAGAAAAGGATTAAACAGTAGGTGACCTAAATAAGAATTACCAGTAAAGAATATCTTGTCCCACTTCTGCTGCAGTAGTTGTTCAGCTGCATCATGTCCACCTTCAATGACTTTTAGTGCTGCTGAGTCCAAGTAACGGGGGATTGTATTAGCAAGAAAAGAAGAGGATGCAGGCGATAGCTCTGAAGGTTTCAAGACCACTGTGTTTCCTGCAGATATTGCCCCAATCACTGGGTCCAAAGCCAGTGCTGCACAAAGAAAGAAATAAATTAGCCTAAAGGACATGTATCAACTTATTTGAGATGCTTCTCCCTGCCTCTAGTAAAAATAAGGCTCACCAGAAACTCAAAAGAACCTGTAACTCACAATAAACCACTACACTTATCCTAGGAGGTTTGATGGAGAAAGGAGGTCAAGATCTTATTAGCATGCTTCTATTTGAACATACACATCAGCAATTGCTAGTTCCTTGACGACTATCAAAATCACATTGGATTACAACAATATCTAATTGAACTTACAGATAGGAAAGTTCCAAGAAGCAAGGACCAATACTAGGCCAAGTGGCTCAGGTAATACTTCTGCTCTTGCTGGGAAAAAGAGCAATGGCATTTGGCCCTGTTTAAACGGAGTTGTTAGCAGCTGCAAGAAATCGAGATGAATAGTCCATCCCCCCTTGGTTTTACTTTGATCACAGAATAAAAAAACTGTAAGTGACCGTTAACCTAAATCGAGCAGCCAAAAAAATTTCAAGTTACCCAAAGTGCTTACCAAAAAATCATTCTTGTCTATGCTTCAATAACCAGACTTCAGCCAGCACTTATAGAACGTACTTCCTCAACCAAGTTCAATTTGTATCTAAACCTATCTAAGACGAAACTCATTTGTGCACTTCTTTTTCGTTTCTTGACAACACTGGTATGTAAAATGAGGGGGAAAAAAAGTTAATAGAACATGCATGCGGCCACTATGTTAAAGTTGATAGTGAGCAATACATGTATCAGAAAGAAAAATTATGATCAAGAAACATATACTCTCAAATTGAATTCCAGTTCAGCTACTAGCTTACCAATTTAAATAGCTCTCTACTTTCGAATCTTGAACCAGATTGGCCAATTTTACTTGTTTGTAAAAATATGCATCGAATAGCACTACATTTAAGCAGCTAAAGTGATACACACTAGTGACACACCTTCTTGGGAGCCATCCATTTCTCAACAGAGGCCAAAGCGTACTTGGCTGATTTCTTCAGAACACCAACCTGTTAGGGAAGGCAAAAAAATAATAAAGAGGGGAAAATAAAATAAAAGCATGGCATCATCAAACAGTTATAGTAACACTTAGAATTTACTTTGGAGGTGTCCCAAATGGTACAGTAGACAAATCATAAAACTCCAACCCAGCATTAACTATCTGTTAGCCCTATCAAAACTGGCTCTTTGCTGAATGAATAGGGATGATCACAATGAATATGTTAAGAAACCAAACAGTACTATGCTGGATGCCTGATATTCTACCGTGATACCAATAACCAGAATAATTATGCAATTATTAAAAAAGAAAAAATCCTACTTCATCGCGATAAGATTCAACGGGATGCTTGCCCAGATCTTGTTGAAGCGCATCAAAAATGCTGTCTTCGTTCTCATCAAGGAGTTTGAGAATAGCTCTGAGCTGGGCCTTTCTCCATTCGAGGCCTCTGGTTTTTCCACTCCGGAAAGTTTGCCTCAACTCTGCTAAGTTTCGGGCCAATCCGGGCGATTCCTCCATAGTTACGCTGAGAATGACAATCAAGACTCTGACACCACCCTCTTATGATAATATCAGAATATCTGCTCTCAATTTATATATACATATATATTCCATATCTCTACCAGCTCTCAGTATCTATTACTACTATTAATCAGTATTCAGGCACTAATACTACTTTCTAACATAGTATTTTGTTCTGGCGGTTTATCAAACCCACCTTCACGTTTCCATTTTATTTTGCTATTAATTTCCTATTTTGTGTTTTCCTTTCTTTCTTTCTTTTTTTTGGTGTTTTTGTTGAGCAGGAGGAGGAGGGGGGGGGGCGGGGCGGTATGGGGGAGTGATTGGGTCTGCTTACGTGAGTTGCAGTAGTAGTATTTTATTCAGGAAGACAAGAGAGGGCTGCAGCTTAGTGATGTGAAATCGTCGTACACAAATACTGCTGCAGTGCTAGTTTCCAACAGCACCACAGCTATGAATTTTAAAAGCGTCGGGGTCCAGAGTGGGACGTCGTTTGACAGCCAGCCAGGTCTGGTCCTCCGAAAGGACTGTTGAAGTTTCAATGCCTAATCACGGAAAATGCACAGCATGTTCGCCAACGTTGGTGACGACGACATAATCAGATCTCCTTCTGCAATTTCGAGTTTTTTAATATTAGAAAGTTAGGAAACAGACAACAACTCGCAAGTATTCTAAACAAAAAAAATTTGCTGCTTTTATCAATCTATCATGAATCCAGGATCCTTGTTTTATTACCAGAAAAAAAAAAAAATGTCATAGGTTACTTTTTTCCCTTTTTTCTTTTTCCCTCTCACTTGTTAAAGTACTCTATCTAGTAACTAGTAAGATATAGCAAAATTGTTGCTGCAAACTGTAATTTTCCTTGAAATAAATTTGAATAGTCCATTTCAAGATGTATATTATAGTTTTGAAATGTAGAACTAATTCAATTTAAGTCACCCCTAAAAAGTAGTAAAAGGATTTGATATGTTTACTGAGCATGTTTGGATAGTAAATCATTTTAAATAATTTTTTTAAAGATAATCTGTAATACTTTTTTAATGTGATATATGTAAAATAAAATAATAATTAAAAAATATGTTGATAATACAAATAAATAAAAATTGATAAATAATGCAATTTCCGAACAAACCTACACTTCAGTTTTCTTAGAAATCAAGGCATTCATAGAATCCAGAAGATTTGACAATATCCCCCTTTTACAGCTTCCCAACGTTACAGGTGGTTCTGATTTGTAAGCTTGTTGGCACATCTTTGTGATAGTAGATACTGTACAAGATTATTTGAAAAAAAAAAAAAAAAGGAGTCTTGTATTATTAGTGTAATACTTCTTCTGATGTCTCGTGTGTGAAATAAAATGATAAAAATATAATTAGAAATTCTTTTTAAATAATATTGACAATGGGAAGAACGGTAAGAGTCCAAACCCAATATTTCTACTTGCCGTTACTTTTATTTGCAGACATAACTTGCGAAGCATTAGCTAAAAGGTAAAAGTTACCATAACTTCACAATTTTCCCTGCAAAGTGAAAATCTGTGTTTGGGTCAAATCAGAATGCGATTGGTTGGGAACGAAAAATGGCACGCGTAATTGTCCGTTTGGATTTCTCATTTTTTAAAAAATAAATTTTTCATATACAATATTATAATAATATGCAAACAAAAACAATTCCAAAAAATATCACATCAATACAATATATAAAAAAATAACTCTAAATATATAAAAAATAAAATCTACACAATTTTTTTTTTCCATCTATCACCGCCACCGCCATTATTCCCTTTTCTCCTCTTTCCTTTTCCTCTCTCTTCCTTCTCCCCTCTTCCCTCTCGTGCCACAGGCCATCACTCCCTTTCCTCCCTAAATCTGACATTAACTAGAGACTATGATTTAGCTACAGCCAAATCACAACTAAAAGGACCATGGTTTGGCTACGATGTCATGACTAGAGGCCTCGATCTGGCTTTGTGCAGATCGGGGAGAGGGGGAGAAGGGGGAAAGAGGAGGGGTGAGATATGGTTGAGAGGGGAAGGGGAAGGGGAAGGGGAAAGGAGGAGTGGAGGGAAAAAAATGGGATGAGGAAGATGGGAGGAGAAAAAAGATGGAAGAGAGGAAGAAAGAGATGGAGAAGGAAGAGAGAGGGGGAAGAGTAGAATGGAAGGGGTGGTGGGTGATGATGGTAATTTTTTAAAATATTGTAAAAATTTTTAAATTTTAACAATATTTTAAAAATATATCCAAAAAAATTTATTTTTTTTGAATATTTCCAAAAAAATTTATAATAAAAGATTTTTCAAATACATTGTTATAATAAAATATTTTTAAAATATTTCAAAAAAATAAAAAATAATCCGCAGCCTAGCGTACTTCAAAAAGAATCGGTCAATTCACCTCTTAAAATGAAACGTCTTTTCTAGTATCCTGTCAGCTGGGACGGCATTTATGGACAGTTGAAACTGCCTTAATAATGATCAACACTTTCAATCTAATCTATATTCAAAGTAGCTTGTTTCATAAATTACAAGATTTATGACATGTATCTACCCCATAAACACATTAAGAGCACAAAAAATTGCTGCTTTTTCTGTGGTGGGATGGGATCCATAAAGAAATAGGCTCCTTTAGCTTCTTTTGATGAGCGAATTGATTCATGTGGCAGAAATCACGGGACTTGCAAGCCTGTGAATTGAGCGAATGACGGCCTTGTTTGGTAAGCTTTGGCCAAATTTATCTATTATAATTTTTTAAATAATTTTATTTACAATAATTTCAAAAAATTTGTTTAAAAAATTTAAATTATACACTTTAAAATATTCAAAAAAATATACACTTTAAAAAATTTGTGTACAATTTTTATATTAAATTATAATAAATTTTTTACAAAAATCAAAAAAATCTTATTTGCCAAATGGGCCGACATTTTAGATAAGTCTAACCAGTCCAACAATGCTTTTTTTTTTTTTTTTTTTTTTTTTTTTTTTTTTTTTTTTTTTTTTTGGAAACGTTAACAGTAACAACGTGAAATACTTGCGAACTGCCTAAGTCAATCCCCTGTATTCAGCAGCGTAGGAAAGCATTGGCCGTCGTAGAATGCAGAAGCTACGAAGAATACATCTTTTGTTTCTTTTCTTTTTGTTTCCATTTGCACGTAGGAGATTTTTGTGTTGAAATTAACGATGCCTTAATTGGACCTGCCAATTAGATTGGGCAGATCTGAACTCAATTCGATCGGTCCTAAATTTAGTGGGCTGAACTTCATACAATGTGAACTAATAAAAACATAGACCAATATATTTTGCCCAATTTAAATGTGAGCTGAATTTGGATTGGACTAGGTTCAATCCAATTAATATTCAGCTTGAAAAATGTGTACATGATGGCTCATGTGCGGGAATTAAGAAGATTTGTTTATCTAAATTCAATCAAATATTTAAAGTTTAAATGATTAATTTTATGATAATTTTTTTCCAATCTCTAATTGATAGGTTTGTGGATATTATGGTAAACTGTGTTATTTTTTGTCCTAAAATTCAAACTTTTTTTGGTAGATATATATGGATTAACTAGTTGTTTCACTTAACTAGATTCTGTAAACACTAAACATATAAAATAAATGAATGACATAAGCTTGGGTCTGCCCTAAATAGACTCAATACTTGACTATTTTTTTTTTTTTTTGAGTCGAGCATGAGTTGCAAAAATGTGAACCTAGCTGAACTAAAATTGGGTTTAAAAGAATGACATTTTATTTATGTGAAATGATTTTAAGTATGTCAAAATCCAACTCACACAGGTCAATTGACAGGCCTAGCCTTAATAGAGCTCGACATCTATGGGCCTGTTTGGAACCTGAGTTTTTTGGGAGTTTGTCTAAAACTTTATTGTAGTGCATTGTAGAAGTTTTTAAAAAAATTTTGTAGAAACTTTTGTAAGGTGAAATTTTTTTTTTTTTTCTCTTTCCCTTTCTTTTTCTTTTTCTTTCTTTCCTTTTTCTTTTCTTTCCTCTCTTTTTCTTCTTCTTCTTCTTCTTCTTCCTCCCCGTTACCTCCGCTACCCCCAGCTGCAACTCCACCTTCCCTCTCCCCTCGCCACCCCCCTCTGCCTCGCTTTCCCTCTCTCTCCCGCCGCCCCCCTCTGCCCCTTCCCCCTCCCCCCGCCTTCCCTCTCTCCCCCGCTGTCCCCCTCCCTGCCCCTTCCCCTTGCCCCCCACCGCCTTCTCTCTCCCACGCTTCCCCCCGCGCACACGACACCCCCCTTTGCCGCTTTCCCCCTCCCCCCGCCTTCCTCTCTCCCCGCGTCCCCTCCTGCCGCTCCCCCCTCGCCGCCCCTCTCTGCACCACCCCCTTCTGCGCCGGACGTAGAGAGAAAAAAAAGGACAAGAGAGGATGATGGTAGGGGAGGAAGAGGGGGAGAGGAAAAAAAAAGGGGAAAAAAAAAAGACCGGCACCGGCACCGGAAATTGGTGATGGAGCCGGCAATGGAGATGGTGGTAGGGGAGGAAGAAGAAGAAAAGAGGAAGGAAATTTTTTTTTTGTTGTGTTTTGGATATTTTAAGTGTGTAGGTTAAAATTTTTGATAAGTTTTTTGGGGTTCTTGTAGCAAAAGTTGTTAAAAAACTAGTTTTATACAAATTTGGTAAAAAACCAAGCTTCCAAACAGGGCCTATATTTCCAACCATGTACAAGTCTAAAATAGCAACCAAGGAAATATCCCTTCTTTTACTTTTTCTTTGAGAACAATAATTCTTTTTTTTTTTTTTTAGTGTAAGTGGAAGGATTCAAACTTGAGACCTCTCATTTACATTCTCATCTTCTAAATAATAATTTTTGTATGAATGTAGATATAATAAGAATTCGCAATATCAACTTAATTTATTAGAATAGTCTTTTCTAATTCATTTTATCTTAATAATACAAACCAAGTACTTACAATTGATATGTAACTCGTTTTCATCTTCGATAATCCAGCATATATTATCAATTTATACGACATAATCATCATGAATATAATGAAAAAATATGTTTGGGTATGAGATTATTTGACATAACAAACACACAATCTCTAACTGCATTTTTAATCATTTTTATTTAATATATATCACATTATAAAAAAATATTATAGTAATTATTCTAAAAAATTCAAGTAATATTCTATACAAACAACTTCACATTGTGACAGCATATATATTGTTTGTATGGATGTACATGTATACAGTAGTAAGCATTGTGGCGGCATATAAGTACTGTTTGATAATTCAATTAAGTATTTAAACTTGATATGGATTTAGATTTTAATTAAGTGGCATTGAATATTCTAAACAAAACTTGTTATCAAAATTAAGTGATAAACTATTCACTTATCACTGGTGATAAACTATTCACTTATCACTGATGTGATATGTACTCAAATGTATT